AGAGATCTTGTCTTGGCTAGATAATTAATGTATTATTTTTTTACGATACCAATTTATTTTTTATCGAATTAATTTTTGTGAGGTTTGATATGTGATTATTGTAATGGGTCATCTTGACGCATCTGAGATCTTTTCGACTAAATTCTATTGTTAATTGAAGATGTTTGGAAAAGGATATATGTTTGTGTAAAATAATAGTTTGATGAATATTCTTGTGTTATACATTGGATCTATAAAAACTAACCATCTTTTAGTTTATTCAGGGTACGTATATTATAATGTAAGTTTCTTCGCAGTCTGAGGCCACAACTAGTCGACAGATTAATTTATTTAATAATTCTACGATTGGAATATCCAATTTGTTAATGATTTTTCACTAGATAAGCGTTTGAAAATCTGCATTAAAATTATTTAATGAAAATTTTTGGCACGAACACTAAAAAACAAATACATCATGGGTTGCCCAATGACAATAACTGTTCGACGACGCATCTACATTGGACGTATCTACATTTGACGCATCTACATTAGACGTATCTACATTTGACGCATCTACATTAGACGCATCTACATTAGACGCATCTACATTTGACGCATCTATATTAGACGCATCTACATTTGACGCATCTACATTTGACGNACTAGTGCAGAGCTCATGGCAAACACGCGCAATACTACAGCTTTACTAGTGCAGAGCTCATGGCAAACACGCGCAATACTACAGCTTTACTAGTGCAGAGCTCATGGCAAACACGCGCAATACTACAGCTTTACTAGTGCAGAGCTCATGGCAAACACGCGCAATACTACAGCTTTACTAGTGCAGAGCTCATGGCAAACACGCGCAATACTACAGCTTTACTAGTGCAGAGCTCATGGCAAACACGCGCAATACTACAGCTTTACTAGTGCAGAGCTCATGGCAAACACGCGCAATACTACAGCTTTACTAGTGCAGAGCTCATGGCAAACACGCGCAATACTACAGCTTTACTAGTGCAGAGCTCATGGCAAACACGCGCAATACTACAGCTTTACTAGTGCAGAGCTCATGGCAAACACGCGCAATACTACAGCTTTACTAGTGCAGAGCTCATGGCAAACACGCGCAATACTACAGCTTTACTAGTGCAGAGCTCATGGCAAACACGCGCAATACTACAGCTTTACTAGTGCAGAGCTCATGGCAAACACGCGCAATACTACAGCTTTACTAGTGCAGAGCTCATGGCAAACACGCGCAATACTACAGCTTTACTAGTGCAGAGCTCATGGCAAACACGCGCAATACTACAGCTTTACTAGTGCAGAGCTCATGGCAAACACGCGCAATACTACAGCTTTACTAGTGCAGAGCTCATGGCAAACACGCGCAATACTACAGCTTTACTAGTGCAGAGCTCATGGCAAACACGCGCAATACTACAGCTTTACTAGTGCAGAGCTCATGGCAAACACGCGCAATACTACAGCTTTACTAGTGCAGAGCTCATGGCAAACACGCGCAATACTACAGCTTTACTAGTGCAGAGCTCATGGCAAACACGCGCAATACTACAGCTTTACTAGTGCAGGGCTCATGGCAAACACGCGCAGCAATACTACAGCTTTACTAGTGCAGGGCTCATGGCAAACACGCGCAGCAATACTACAGCTTTACTAGTGCAGAGCTCATGGCAAACACGCGCAATACTACAGCTTTACTAGTGCAGGGCTCATGGCAAACACGCGCAGCAATACTACAGCTTTACTAGTGCAGGGCTCATGGCAAACACGCGCAGCAATACTACAGCTTTACTAGTGTAGAGCTGAACGCAAACGCAAGCGGTGCATATTATTTTTTGTAAATGCATGTTGTTTGTAAATGTACTGTAAATACACGTCATACGCGAGTGCACTGTTAGTATATGCTATATGAAAGTGTACTGCAACTTTACGTTGTATGTAATTGTACTGTAGGTACATGTAAGTGAACTGTAAGTACATGGTGTACGTAAATTTACTGTAAGTGCACAGTGTACTCGTATATGTAAGTGCATTGTACGTACACGTTGTCCGCAAGTGTACTGTAAATACACGGTGCAGGAAAGACACCGACAGATACGTGTATCTTCTAGCCAGCAACAGCGTAATTAGGGGTTATCAGCGGACAACCTCTCTGCCAAGCGAGAGCACCGAAAGAAGCTGGTTAATTAAGATTGGTCTAGACTGGGTTTCAATAATTTACTAGTGTTATCTATGAGAATGAATGGTCCGTACGTTTTTTTTGCTGCATTTCAGCACCACACTTAGTCTGTATATCATCGTACTGAAATAATTCTGATATAATGTATAGACTCTTTTTTTAGGAGTACTTCGTCTTTGCCTTTACTATCTGCGTTCATATATATTCATGTTCAAGAAGTTCAGAGTGAACTACATCGCAAACTCAAGTCTACACTCAAAGAAATGAGCGAGATTGTCTAAATATCGATGCACATTTGGCCTTTGCTGGGACACCTCGACCCAGTTGGGTTCGGCAAAAGGGCATATCGGTGCTACGTTAGTTCTCTTCTTGTGTTGTGGGTAAGAAAGTGTGTCACAAATGGATAACATGTCCCATTAATTACTCTGAGTGTAGGTTGTGTTCAGTCAGTGGAGGTGATGAGTGTCGGGTTACAGGGCGACTGCTCCTGCCTGCGTCGTGAGAACCTACAGCTTGTCGCTGTGCTCACGTGCAGTGCATGCATTACGTACGTAGTTAATGCACTACGTACGTAGTTAATGCATTACGTACGTAGTTAATGCACTACGTACGTAGTTTATGCACTACGTACGTAGTTAATGCACTACGTACGAAGTGCATGCACTACGTACGTAGTTTATGCACTACGTACGTAGTTTATGCATTACGTACGTAGTGAATGCACTATGTACTTAGTTTATGGACTACGTTCGTAGTTAATGCACTACGTACCGTAACATACGTAGTTAATGCACTATTTACGTTGTTTATGAACTACGTACGTAGTTAATGCACTACGTACGAAGTTCATGCACTCAGCGTACGTATAAAAGCCCTGCACATTTCATGCAATAATCGTACATGCATGAACCTTTAGCTTGTCTCTATGCTGAAGTGCAGTGCATGCATTACGTACGTAGTTAATGCACTTCGCACGTAGTTCATACAATACGTACGCAGTTAATGCACTCAGCTCACGTATAGAAGCCTTGCATATTTCATGCAATCAGCGTTCATGCAATCAGGCGTGTTTACCGATATGCTGAAGTGTACGTAGGTACGAAAGCCGTACTTATTTCGTACAATTAGCGTAAGTACTGTAGTAGAGCGCAATTCATGCAAATTGCGTACATACGCAGGCCACTCGCAGTTCATGCGCTCAGCTTACGTATTAGTGGCGTACGCAGTTTATGCACTCGGCGCACGTATTCAAACAGTAGGCAGTTCATGCATTAAGTGTACGTTCTGATGGCGCAAGCAGTTCATGCGCTCATGAGAATACGAACAAAAGCCTTGAGCAGTTCATGCACTCACCGTACGCATGAATGTCGAACGTAGTTCATGCAATAAACGTTCGTACGAGAGTCGTACGCAGTTCAATCTTTCGTACGGTGACGGTACCCAATTTGTGTATTCAGTGTACGTACGGCGGCCGTATTCAGTTCATGCACTCAACGTACGCACTTCAGTTCTCACACGCAGTTCATACATTCAGCGTGCGTACGAAAACCATACTTTGGAGTTCTGTTCTGCACATGTTCACTGTTCACGACGAGTGAACTCTTGAATTCCTTCACATTATTTTAGTCTTGAAGAGTAACTTCCTGAATAAATGAGCACATTCGTTCTAATTGGGAAACGAACTACTTATCAAGGTAATTTTTCAAGTAATTTTTTATACATATTGATGCTTTAAAAATGAGATTATACGCACTTAATGATCATTGTACATGTTGTTCTTTACTCCGTGTGGTCATAAAGTCATGCTTACTTACAGATCTCTGTACATGTTACTTTTCATTCTATGTCATCACACGGTCATGCTTACTTACAGATCTCTGAACATGTTACTTTTCATTCTATGTCATCACACGGTTATGCGTACTTACAGATCTCTGTACATGTTACTTTTCACTCCATGTCATCACACGGTTATGCGTACTTACAGATCTCCGAACATATCATCCTTTCAACCGTTCATATTACGTTCCTTCATACGGCACAGTCATGATCACATCCTACCACTAGAGGCTCAACTGCAGTCATTGCACTAAGACACACAGCAGGACGGTCGCACGCTTAGGTCTATGCTAAGTCTATTGCTGTGTAATTAATTGATTAAACTAGCACTAATTTCACGAGGGCTTCAATTGGCGTCCGTCAATAGGTTTTAAGGACAGAAGGGCTAAGTTCCCTAAAATTTATGATCATGTTTAAGTTTTTAATGACAGGTTGAATGTTTTTTAACTTGTATTCAGGAGTTTATTGTATTTAACTTATATTCAGGAGTTTATTTTAACTTATATTCAGGCCACATTATTTTGAATTTACCACTTCTAGGTTGTGTCAAGCACAGCCCAGTTCAGTGCACAGCTGCTAACATTTCCTGTGCGCCTGTTAGGCGGTTGTGCGCTCTGCTCTAACTGATAACTTCCTAGTACTCTGATGTCGTGTATGAGACACTCAAGTGCATCAAAATTGGTACATTGCGATGGCCTTACGTGCCTGGGATAATAACAGCTTCCTCATGTCATTCATTGGAGGAATACAGGAATGGAGGAGACATAGGATAGCAAATTCAATGTCTTTATTTCGTCTGGACTGTTTAGAAATATATTGATCAAAGAATAAATGACTGAATAATCTGTCATATAATAATTTTATGTATTGGAATTTTTTCTTCAGAACAAAAATGGCATATATATTTCCTTTAATGAATTAATAATAAAGCTGCAAAATTGTAAATAAATTTTGCCCTTTTGTGATTTCCTTGCAGATTTAAATAGATTAGTGTCGTGATTTAGTGATTGTGGTTTTAGCTTTGGTGATTTGAACTATGGAAAAAAATACTTAACTTCTGAAATGAATGCACAAAAGTTTTCAACAAATAAAATGCACACCCAAGCAAGTGAGCTTTGAAATATATATCCATAGAAACGGGCATTATAATATTATTTTCAAGGATGAAAAATGTATAACGTCAATGTCTATTTGAAGCAAGCAGCGCGTTAGCAAATTTCTGCGACATCGTCTACGGTGAACGACGTTCTCTGACCGTTGGATCGTTGATACTCTTCCCTGGACTGCATCAAGATGGTTGCTTCCGATGAGGTCAGTGAACAAACGAATCCAATTTCACAAATTGGAGCGTTTGTTGTAAATAATGTTATCATAAACCTCGAACTCAGAAAATCTTGCTGAATTTGTAATATTTTATCAAGTTATTCCATAAAAATTTGATTGACGTCAAATTATTTCTGGATAAAATCCATATTACGCATTTGTGAACGCAAACAAACAATGTAAAATTTATTGAAGAAAAACGCATGTAATTTTATTTGCTGACTGCAAGAGGTTACCTGTACATAGTTGTGTGTGTGTCATTTTTTATATCAATTAAATGAAAACGAACTCAATCTTGAACTTTTATCCGGAAGAGATAGCTGTTCCATATTTTTCAGATTAATATACAACAAGGCCTAATTCTGCAGAAATGAAGCTTACGTAAAAATTTTTGACTAAAATGTCACTATTATCCGTTATTGGCGTCCTTGAGACTACCCTGAGACCTGGTTAAAGATATTTTTCTAAATCTTGCCGGTTTGTTGAAGGCAATCTTGATCGGACATATCAGGTCAGCTTCTCTCTTCAATGAGGAGCGATTTATCTCCCGTTCACCCGCGCGTCCCACACAAATTGGTCCACAGGGTTGAGGACATCTCAGTTAAGGGACCACACTTCAGGGAGACCGAAGTCAAATTCATTACCGTCCGCTGAGTAATATTTCTGTGATTTCCTAGAGGTGCGATATGGTGTCCACTGTCCAGTCATGTGGCCATCTTCCATGACATGTGCCTGAATTCATCTTGCATTTATTTATTCTCGGAGGGTCGCATTAAAAACGAGGAGCTACTTGACCTTCTAAACCGGCGGGTTGGGTCTTTTTCCTGCATGTTTTGGATTCGGTATATGAAAGTCAGGAATATTTTCCCCTCTTGACAGCGCCTGCACTTTTATTCAAAGGAGAAAACAGCTTTGAGCTTTCGGCAATATTAATAGTAATTAAAATAGCGATTAATAATAACAATCTAATATTACCGAAAATAATAATAATATTAATTAGACAATGCGTACTCTGCGCCTGAGACTTGAAACGAAAGTTCCGTATTAGGATGCATGAACCGATAGTTGGGTGCCTAAAGATTGTGCGTTTATGGAGAAATTAGAAAATGTGATATCTCTGCCGTTGGTTGACTTCGGTGGTCCTCAAACTACGGTTCACGTAATACTCGCGGCATGCGAAGGCCTTTCAAGCGGTACACGTACTCTTCTGGTTCACGAAATATTTTTCCTTTTGGAAAGCATTTACATTTGTGATTTGTTTACTTCTTAAAATGTTTACTGCCAAACACAAGGCAATGTCGGAGCGATTTACTGCAGCCTCTTTCCTGCCATCGTCTCATTCGCCTTCCCGCTAATCTAAAACTGAACACCTACAAAAAGGCGCTTGTTATGAGCTGTTTTTGATAAAAAGTTGACTTATTATTACTTTAATTTAACTATATAAATTCAAAATGGACACTGACGGTGGACTTAACGTCAAACTGAATAATTGAGGCTAATTTGCGTCCTTAATGGTTCGCTTTGCCTCTTACGGAACCTGAAAGTAACTCGATCGTCCAAAATTTGGGTACCATTGATGCAAGTGCATAAGTTCTAAGCTATTATAAAATTTCGTTCTAGAAAAATATTTATATGTATAAGGCTTTTCTCTTGTTATCTGTTAATATTAGGAGAATGAATAAAACATACAGGTATTTCATTTCAAACGTAATATTCAAATGTCAAATTGCGGTTTTTAGAATCAAATGGTTAAATGTAGCGAAGAACAAAATAGAATATAAATAAATTACATCACGCACTTGGAATAAAATTAGCCCTATGAAAGTTTTTCATTAATGTACTCATACTGCAATCCTCAAATCTTTAGAAAAACTTATAGGCGACTTATAGCTAAAATAAATTTTGGAACCCCTTTAGGAAAATTCAGTCGTGTTTCAGATCAAGTTCTTGTTGAAGAGAAAGGCAGGCTTTATGAGATGGGTCATATGAATAATCGGACAAAATACAAATTAATAATATAATAATTTAGATAGAAATCATGTCTACGTTATAAGAAACTCTTTGGACATGAAATAAGGAAGGAAGAGAGCATAACTTTCCGTAAATGGGGTGGGTTTGAGCCTCTGGAGAGCCTCTGTTTAACTGGCAGCTAGTAAACAGTTTAGGTAAACAGTGCTGAAGCATAGAGCAAACAGAAACATTAGGCAAGCAGGAGGCGGAGGCAAAGCAAACACTAACGAGGAAATAATGGACGTACAACTCATCACAATGGTCGGTAAAGAATCCTTGGAAATTATTGAAATGAATTGAGTGAGAGGATATTAAAGATGGTAATGTTCTGGACGAAAACAGTACAAGGCAATCATTGTAATTACAGATAATTTATCATAAAGCAACGTAGCTAGTCGTTATAACTTAACACGTTCCCGCGTATTGGGACATATGTGTACAACAATGATATTCCACTGTTGCGTTTGGTAAACCAGTATACTAAACGCAATAACTTTATTAACGATAAAACACATTTATATCGAAATTTCGCAGGTAAACATCCTTTTTTAGATTATTTGTGCTCACACGAAAGGTTGATTATTGAATGAAACAAATCAATAAACCAAAATGATATTCATATAAAAAATTTAGCAGCAACCACCCAAAGCCTTCGGCAATAACAATAAGAGAATATATGGTGTGAAGTCTGGAACGTGTTAATGCATTCCACAATACCTTCGGTTTCGAGCATTGTAAAAATCACGGAAACTCTTAAAGTTAGTAATTTACTACGTAAATCGAAGTATTTCTAATCAAATAATTTTTTTGCGCTGCGTAATGCCTGGGTGCATTACGCAGCGCTAAGAGGTTCAACAATTACTTAAAGATTGTATGCAGTACTAGTACACGATGATAGATATATTCGTTGTACGTACACAATATCAGGTGTACGTTCTGCCTGCTGTACACAATAGCTGGGGTGTACGTGCACAATATTTGGTTGTAGACCAATAATTGTTCAATTGAACACTTTCCCTTTACTGAACTTATGTTAAGTAAATTTATTACGAATGCGCGCAACGCCTTAAAATTACGGATGCACGTAATGCCTTAAAATTACGGATGCACGCAACGCCTTAATATTACGGATGCACGTAATGCCTTAAAATTACGGATGCACGCAACGCCCTAAAATTACGGATGCACGCAACGCCTTAAAATTACGGATGCACGCAACGCCTTAAAATTACGGATGCACGCAACGCCTTAAAATTATGGATGCACGTAACGCCTTAAAATCAAAGTGACGCCGAATTGGCTAATGATGGCGAATAGATGTAAAACAGGAGAATTAAAAATATCAGAATACATTAAACATGCACTAAAATGAAAACAGAATATGGAAATTTGCTTTAATTGAGTGAAAATTTTATTTAACATGGATTTTCTGAATATGATGCAAATGCACGGGACAAATTTGCGGCATGAAGAAAGATTGCGAAGAAAGCTAAACACATTTTGACAAGTCGCAGTTTTTCTGTAGTGATTTTCAAAAATATGTCTACGCAAAATCAATTTTTCGCATTCCCACTGATATTTTTCACTCAACAATATAAGCGTACTTAAATCGGAACGACTAAACTCCTGTGTTGAGAAAATAAAATTTTTATGATAGAATTGAAAGGTTGCCCGATGATGTGTGCAGATAAATAGGAACCTATTATCTTACGTTTCATCTCACGGAACTATGCAAAATGTAAATAACCGAATAGTGTGCATTTACATCGCTTTCAGTTAACAACGAATATCATGTAGATTTCCGCAGACTCTCTTCTTCGCAACTGTTTCGTTAAAGGTAGTAAAGTTATTGTATTGTTTAAAGACTTTATCTTATTCACAGAACAAGGTCATGGGCATTTCACTCAATCGCTTACTAAAGCCCTTCACATTTTGCTTCTTTTACAGGAGTATTGCAACATTTTGCCGACCACGTGCTCAGTTCTTCCGCGACTTGATAAGTTGAGAAGCGTAGCATGCGGGCCACGTACGGCATGAATAGTCTTTGGTTAACTTGACTCTTAGTGAGAACTTTTCGTTTGATTTAGCCTCATATTGACTGAGATTTTAAAAAAAGTACTGGTATAGTTTTCGCCTTGAACGCTCATGTACGTTACCAAACTTCCGGATAAAAATTGACTTCCCGCGACCTGGTTTTTAAATAAAGCGCCTCACAGAATTTTGTTGCAGTGGCACATTACCGAGCATTGTTGCTTAAAGGGTCCTCGACAAAGGATATCGACATTCATTGATTATCGAATACTGTGTTATTTAGAGGTACGTTCCTTAATGATCCTTATGGCGGTCTATTTCAAGACAATTCGATGCGCAGATATCATTGCCATTTTCTCCAGTTTTAGACTTTTACTGAGGACAACGGTCAATTGCTTGGCAGATTTAAGGGGTTCTTGTCGTCGTGACGTAGCAGAGTTTTTTCTAGATGGCTCCTTACCTTTGTTTGGCGCTCATTATTTCGTTGGGAATAAACAACCATAAATTTAATGTAATTATAATTACGGCAGCTTGTGGGTGGAATGGTCATGTGGAAGGAGTAGTTTACGCTAATTGCATTACGGTCCGTGCGATAAAACTTATCCGCAATAATTACCATTAGTTAATTATACTTGCTTGTACACACCTGATTTAATTTGAAGATAACAAATTTTTAGTTGCATCAGAGTTAACAACCGTGTTTTTCAATAATAATAACCGGTCAGCAGTTCGGTAATTTTAATTATATTTTTCGCAGTCTATATATTACTTTTTATTAGTGGTTTATTCATTTTGAACGTCTTGAGTACCTTACGTTTGACCGTGCCTGCATTCACTTATTCCTGTTTAAACCGTTATACGTCCATGAGTGTAATATTTCTTAGATTATTGAGAATATTTATAAAAAGATTGTGTGGAGCAAATCTGGCAAAGTGAAATTACATTTT